AATAAAGATAATGATAGAATAGATATGATAGACTAGAGAGAGAAGAGATAGAGATGATAGAGATAGAGATAGAGAGAGAGAGATAGGATCAGAAAAGAGATAAGAGATAGAATAGATATAATTAGATAGATAGATAGAATAGAGAGAGAGAGAGAGAGAGAGAGAGAGAGACACGAGAAGAGAGAGAGAGAGGAAGGGAGAGAGAGAGAGAAGAGGACAAGAGGGAGAAGAGGAGAGAGAGAGAGAGAGAGAGAGAAGGAGAGAAGAGAGAGAGTGGGCAGAAGGCGAGGGAAGAGAGGGAGAGGAGAGAGAGAAGAGAGGATTCGAGAGAGGGCAACCACCACAACACAAGACACAGGACACAACACAACCGAAAGCACCGCAACCACACGCCGAAACCACCCCCAAAAAAACACACAGGACACACGCCCACAGACACCAGGCCCCAACGAAACCACCCGGACCCCACCGCACCCAGCACAAACACCCACCAAACCAACAGGAAACGCAACATACAACCGCCACAAGCAACACCAAAACACGCAACACCACAACACCCAGCACACAAACACAAAAACGCGAACACCACCACAACCCCACACACACCACCACACCGACACAAACACAACACACAAACACCACACGCTACCACACCCGACACAACCAACACCACCACTACCCACCCCCACAGACACAGACAACCCAAGCCCGCGACGATAGAGAGCAAGAAGACCACACGAAAGACCAGCACCCCAACACACACAGCAACCACCCCCCGCACGCAACAGCACGAGAAGACACGCCGGGCAAGAAGAGCACACCGACCGGAGAAAGACACAGAAGAGGACACGAAGCCATGGCAACAACGGAAGAACCCAACCAAAAAAACACTCACAACACAAACACAAGACAGCAAGACCAGGCATCACCTGCCCAAACAACGAGACACCCCTCACTACACCAAACCCAACAAACACCAGCCCACCTCGCAAACACGACCACACTCACACCCCCACACCCAAACCAACCACACCCAACCACAAACCCAACACACAACCCAAACAACCCACCCAACCCACAGCAACAAAAACCCCACAACCCACAGCCCAAGAAAACCCCGACCCACCACAACCACACAAACAGCCCACCATCCCAACCACCCAACACACCTAGCGCAACACCACACAACCACCAGACCAACAACCAGCCCCAACCACCCGCCACACACACGCACCCCGCACCGAACACCACACACAACAGCCACGACAACACAAGACCACAACACACACCCCACCAACCAAGCACACACCCAAACGAAGACCCCAACACCCACACCCAACACCCACCCACCAAACAGCAAAACAAAACCCCCAAAACCCGCACCACAACAACCCACCCACCCAACCCCCACCCCCGCCACAAACCCCCCACCACACCACCCTCCACAAACCACCGCAACGACAACCCCCAACACCCCAGCACAAACCCAGAACGGAAAAGACCAGACCCAGACCAACCGGACCACAGGAGAGCGGACCCCAGCAGACAGACCACAAGAGAGAGAAGAAGAACAAAAAACGCCACCACACCGACACAGCACAATAAGGAGGACGAACCCCCCACCCACCACACAAACACCACAAAACACAAAGAACAAACACACAACAAAACACAAAAACAAAAAACAACCAAGAGACAAACAACAAACACAAGAAAAAAAAAAAAAACAAACAAAAAAAAAGAAGAAAAAGAAAGAAAAAAAAAAAACAACAGAACAAAACAAAAACAAAAAAAAAGAAAAAAACAACAAAACAAAAAAAAAAAAAGAAAACAAAACGGAGAGAAAAACAACGAGCCAAGAACAGAGACGAGAGAACGCACAGAGAGACATCACAAAAAGAGAGCAACGAAAGACCCAGACGAGCTAAGCGACAACAACGATAAGAACAGACAACCGACACAGAAACACAAAACAACAGATACAGAAAAAAAGAACAGACTAACGGACGAGTACGAGAGAGAGAGTACGAAGAGAGGCCAGCAGGGGAGAACCGAGAGGGAGCAGACAGACGGGAGAGATGTGGAGAGACGAGACGAGAGCATGAGAGAAGAGAGATGAGAAGTGACAGAGAGAGAAAGAAAGAGAAAGATAGATAGACAGCATAGATGATAGAATGTATTATACAATGCCACTAGAACTGATAGGAATTTGGAATGATACGTAATAACTAATTGTTACATGAGAGAGAGACGAGACGGAGAGTAGGAGATCGGGGTGGGGCATCGGGGATGAGGAAGAGGACTGAGAGCACAAATGCAAGAGCCGAGCGACGAGAGGAAGCGACACGACTAAGAAATTAGCGGACGGCGGAGGGACGAGGGATGAGGGTGACGCGAGAGCAGCGACAGAGAGGAGAGAGAGACAGAGGGCATGGTGAGAGAGAGAGAAGACTGAGAGAGAAGAGAGACCAGAAGCCGGAGAGAGAGAGAGAGCAGCATA